AAATTTATTTTTACATATAGGAAGCAAACGTTTACAGAGCGAATACCAAACAAGAAAGCAAAATGATTTCCTTAAGGATACAAGTATGAAAACAAAGGGATTACGCTATGAGTATAATTTTTTAATACCCAGGAAAACCTTCTGGACGCATTTGGGCTTTTTGTGCCAAAAAGTCCATTTTTTAACTACTAAATTTATGGATTTTATTATTAATATTCTAATCAATGTTTGTACAAACATTAAATAAAATACTAATTATATTAAATAAATACAACTTATATTATTGAATTAATTCTTTGATTTCATCATTATATTTAATTACATTATGAAAATATCTATTTTCTTTCATTAATTCTATTATAATCAAAAACTGAAAAAAAAATTTTTGTTTCTTTCTGTTAATTCTAATAGCCAAAAAACTAAAAAAAAGAAAACTAATATATATTTTGAAAATTTTGAAGAAAGATTTTGGTAAAAATAAGTCAGTAATACATAAACTTACATAACATTAAATAAATATAGCTTACATTATGTTATGAAAAAGTCCATTTCCCTTCGTTAGTTCTATTATAATCAAAAAAAAAGTCAATTTCCCTTCCAAAAAAACTGAAAAAAAGAAAACTGATATACATTTTAAAAATGTTAAAGAAAGATTTTGGTAAAATAAGTCAGTAATACATAAACTTACGAAATATTAAATAAAATGATAATTATATTAAATAATTATAACTTACATTATTGAATTAATTTATCGTTATCATTTTTATCGTTGTATTTATCAGATTTATCATTATCATATTCATGGTCAAAGGTGTTAAAGATATTTGAGGTGATAGTTAAGGTGGTTGTGCCACTCCAAGTATTATCATCATCAGTCTAAACAAAAAAAAATATAATTAAAATATTTAGCCTATTTGCAAATTCTAGAATCTTTTAATTAAATTATTTAACATATTTGTGAGTTTAGAAAACTTACCAAAATTTTATTCATATGCAATTTAATAATATTTTCAGAAATCTGTTTATTTTCTATTTTAGGATTTAGAAGGATTTTATATATAGTAGTAGTGTAAGCTCTTTGAAGTGATGTTTGCTTCTTAGGTTCTCAAACTTTATCTAAAATATGAGTTAGATAGATAGTTTGTTTACCCTTCTTTATTGGAACAAATAATTTAATCTGACATTCCTTTAATTTGTTAGATTTTTTCTAACTTTGAATTTCTGTTAGACTTGCATTGGTATTTATTAGTAATAGCTAGACCTCGCCAAATACTGTAAATATTGTATCCCTAATTCATGATGTTAAAGTACTACAGAAGCTCTGATGTTATTTTAATAGCTATTAATAAGTATTGAAAACATTAAAATTATATATAAATCATATCACATTTATATTTAAGTGAGCAAACTTATAATATGATAAATATTTTTTTTATAAAAAGACATCCAACACTTTCGGGTAAATTTACCAAAAAATTCATAGTAATTTGCTAATACATATTCTTCCATAATTCTTTTTGTGTTGGATATATTGATCTAGTTAGCGTCTCTTTTGCAATATTTTTAATTAGATTCTATAATAAAATAATTTAAAATAATATATAATGTATATCAGTACTTTTCGTGAAAAAACATAAACTGAAATAATATAAAACAATTCTTACTTTTTCAAAAGTTTTATCAATGCCTATATGCTTTGTACAATCCTCTTTCAACTTTATAATTCTTTCTTCTAGTTTTTTTTTTGACCTGATATTAATATATCAAGTTTAGCATTAAGCCTCGCATTTTAATTTAATATCTTTTTTAACGTTATTGTCAAAACTTTGTATAAATAAAAAAAAATTTTTTTAAAAAAAAATTATATGCATGTTTTTAAAAAAATACTAAATTGGTACTTTTATATACCTTTCACAGATGACCTGTTGACATGCTTCTCTCTAGAGCTTGAAGATTTTGTTCTTTTGTTTGATTCAACTTGTTCTTGAGTTGGTAAGTTAAAACTTTTCTTCTATTCATTTTTAAGTTTTTTTATAGAAAAATGAAAAAAATAATAAATTAAAATTTAGATTTTAAAACTAAATATGATTAAAATCAAGCAAGTTTTTTACTAAAAGAAGAAATGAAATATTACATTACAAAAAATGAAAAAAACTTATTTAAATGTTTATCTCATGATGACAACTTTTCTTTAAGAAAGAAATACAAAAAAAAATACAAAAAACATACAGAAAAATAATACAAAAAACAAAAAATATACAAAAAATATACAGAAAAATAATATAAAAAAACAAAAAAAATATAAAATTCTATATTTAATATCTAATTCTATATCTAATTCTAATAATTTTAAATTATAAAATTTCTATTTCAAAAAAAGAGAGAGAAAAGAAAAAGAAAAAAAATGGTAAAAGAAAATACAAGTAATATGACATAAATAAATAAAAATATGTAAAATATATGAAATTACTATTTTAGTAAAAATCAAAATAAATTATGCATAATAATACAATCTGTAATAAAAGATTTGCATAATCAATACTAATAATGCATATTTATGTAAAAATTATACATATATTAATATTAATAATTTATTTATATTAAAAATAAAATTATTAACAAAAAATTCATTTTTACTTTTAAAACGTAGTATTATATATACTATATCTTGTATAACTTCTATTTCTATAAAATTATATAATTCTTTAATTTGTAATCAAGGACATCTGTAGTAATATGGTTGACTTTGTGACTTAAAGTCATACCATTGAATTAATGCTAGATTAAGTGAAGGTTTTTCCTTTTCTATTTCAATCTTTGCAATTAATAATACCTTAAATAAATTTAAAATAATTTATTATATATCGTATAATAATAAAAAAATATAACAAATATTTAAACTAAATAAATACCTATTCATAACAAACACCTTAATCAGATAAATATTCAAATAATTTTTCAGAATTCATAATAAAAGAAATATTACTAAACTAAAGATTTATCTTAATTTAAGTGATGTCTATTTCAGATATTTTAATTAAATCCAAATATGAATCCATATATGCTAAAAACTGTTCAAACCCAGTCTTTATTTTATCATCTATATTAGGTTCTATTTTTTTTCTTCAAAAATGAAAGTACATTTATTAATAAAAATTCATAAAGCTTTGATGAAATTTTAAATGTACAAGGAATTATTTCCAAATTTGTTGATTGGTTTTAAAACGTTATTTCATAATACCAGTAACAGCATCTTTACTTGAATTATTATAGTTATCAATATTTATTTTATAATGAAAATGCAATTCTAACTGTACATTATTTAGAAGTTCTATAATGGAAAGAGTTTTAATACTATTTCCCTCATTATTAGGAAAGAGGTGAGGTACTATCTTTAATTTGATTTTGGAGAAAATATGAAACAATTAAAGAAATTTGAATTTGAAGATTTAGCACTATAAGTGATTATAATTAACTAAGTCTAATGATTAACATTATAAAATTGGTTGAAATTTAATAAAATGGTAGAAGGGTGATAGCAATATTATTTTTTGATTTATATAGAAAACAAATAAGAATAAATAATCTTGTGTATTTGAGTTCAGACAATGGGATAAATTGCATCTTATACTCTAAAATAGGGCAGAGAATCAGATTTTTAATAAAAAGATGTAAAATGACTTAATTCAAATACCTAAAAACTTTAAATTGATGGGAGATAGTGGTCAGAACTGGTAATCTGTAATTCATTGATCCACCAGATATATCTGCCAAACCAGATTGCTAATTTGTCTAACAGATAGATTTTACCAGATCAATGAATATTCAGTGAATATCCTGTGGATATCTGCCAAATTTTAATTGATTGATAATTTATAAAATCTCTTTTGTACATTCATTTATTCTATTTTCTCGTATTTTATGTATAAAATATCTTCAACACAGATTACTAACTATATCCAAATAGATAAGAGTGAGTATGAAGAGTTATTATAAGCAACACCAAAAAATAACCAAAATAAGCAACCACAAAAAAGGAAAAGATGTGTTGAAGAAAATATTTCTCCTATTGAAGTAGAAACTTTACAAAAAAAAGGAGGTTCAGAGACGCTTAGTTGGATTTGTAATTATTATTGAATTCAAAAAATTATTAAACTAGCAATTATATCAATCATCTGAATACTGCATAATCAAGAAATAAAAGAACAAGTAATACAACAGCTATAAATTGACACTATGTTTTGTAAGATAATCTCTGATAATCTGCAGAGAAAAATTCTCCTTGATCAAAAATTTGTTGGTATATTAATAAAAGATTATTAACCACTTAGCATTCATGAAGATAAAGGGTTTTTTGAATTTATCTATGAACTTGATCCTTTATATCAATTACCAAATGAGAAAAAAATTCAGGAATTGCTTATGAATGGTTATAATCATATTAAGAATATTTTAGTTAATGATATTATTACTTGTTCTTTAACTCTAACTAGTAATTAGAAAAGGACTTTACCGGTAGAGGTATTAATTACAAGAGCTAAACAGCTTATATTATTTTTTTACATTTTCAAAATAACAGAAAAACTTATAGTGAAGATTTTAAGAGATTTTATTAGCCAATTCGCTATAACAAGAGTATTTTTATTATATTTGTTCAAAAATTTGTTATATTAAGAGTTTGCTATATCAAGAGTTGACTATAGTATTCATTCTAAATTGAAATTAAATTATAGTGAATTACTATCAGAATATGGTGAATATGAATACCTAGCTAACAAGTATGTTTAGCAGAAGATATGAACAGTAGTGATGAAGTTACTGAATATCTAAAGATTGAAGAAATTAGCTTTTCTGAGTGTTCTTTGATTGGTAGTACAAAAATAAAAATTGATTCCAGTCTTATCAAAGATAGCATGCAAATATTTGGCAATTCCAACAACTTTTATATCAAATGAAAGGTTGTTTTTTCAGTGAATCTGAAAATATTATAACAGTTCAATGTACTAGTCTCTTGTTTGAACATCTATTTTTGAAATGTAATTAGAGTTTAGTTGGGTCTATCTTTTCTAATTTCTAATGAATATATTTCTAGTTCAATATGAATTATTGTATATAATAAAGTTAAAAAAATTTTATTTTAGTATAACTAATTGTTATCTAATCGATAGTATTCTACAAAGTAAAAAATTATAATAAACTACATTTTTGTGATGCATAAAATTTAATTTTATCCTTAATTTAATCTACATAGATAAATCCAATTATCTTGAAGTTAGAAATAAAATTTAACCAGTTATGAAATTTGTCAAATGGATATGATTCATGCGGATTAATAGAAGTTAATAAAGAAGTTGAGCACAGATCTCGTTAAGTCATAGAATTCTTTTACAACTTCTAAAATATCTTTGTCTTATTGGAAGCTGACAATTAGAGGTATGCTCTGATGAAATCTGTTCAATCCATTAACTAATTTGATTAAAAAAAATGTTCTGAATTTATTCTAGATCTTTTGCTGAAAATAACCTTTCTGATGATGTTAATGTTGCAGAAATAGCTAATGAATTCTTGCTATTTTAGCAAGAATTGGATACTTATTTTTACTAATTAAATAGATATTGATTAAAAGAAATCTTATCTTCTTTCAACTTTAAGATCATTAGGAGTAAATAATTTTCCTTATTCTATTATTCATAAACTTGATTCTGGGATCAAGTATTGTTAATATTAAGTAATTTTTAGATAAAACTTCCCAATAAAAACATAGCATTATAAAGATCTTTCTAAAAGATCATATTATTTTCTAATATTTCTACTTCTTCTATTATAATAAATACATTAGTAGTATTTTCAATTTCTTGATATATTTCTGGTATATTTTAAGCTTGAATTAGATAATGGTAAAAGTAATAAATTTTTAATTTGTTTAATTATTGGATTCAAGAGTTATAACTAATTCATGTAAAAGTTCCTATTTATAAGAACTTAATATGATTTTTTCAAGTTGCTTTCCATTTTTTTTGTATCAGTATTTTTATTATTTACTAATTCTACAATTAGCATTTGAATATAACCTTTGATTTTAATTAACCTATTTTAAGCATAATACTCTGCAATCACTTGAAAGAAATATTCAATAATTTAAATAATTAATAAACATAAATTATAAAATTAAAATCATTTCACATCATCTTTATTTTGATTTTTTTGAATTTCCTCTAATCTTTGACTTTATTTGGATCTTAAAAAAAAAAATCAATCAATATTTGTTCTTAAAACTAATAGTTTAATAGAATTTAAACCCTTTTCCACTATTAACTATAATATATGTATAACACATGGTTACCACCTTATATTTGAAACAATTTCATCATATTTGCTCTATTATCAGTTACTATAATACATCAGGTATATTCTGTGCATTATGAAAATATCTAATATGTTCAATTGTAAAATCTTTATCTAAAAAAGAACAAGTAACACCTAAAAATCCCAGTCTATTTCTACTAATCCATATATAGGTAGTTAAACTAAAAATTGATATTGCTACATAATTGAAAAAGATAAATCCATTTATGACATCAATACACTGTATTGCACATCATTTACATCTCTTAAGGCAAACTGCAGCAAAAAAAAGTACTACAGTCGTCCTCCTTTATAGTCACACCCCTTAGGACTAAAAATAAAAAGTGTGATTATAATAAAAAGTTACTATACAGGGGGATTTTTATATGTTATTACTAAGCATTGGTTCTGGAAGTCATAAGCAGACTTTTCTATGATTGGCTATTACAGATCAATTAAATTTGGTATTATTTATACAGTTTAAAGTACCTTTTTAGAAAATGGTATTACATTTAGTAAAAAAAAAATTTTTTACTTATCGTTTGATTCTTTAAAACGTTAAATAACTGCTTGCAAAAATAATCCAAAATAATCCCAGTTTTAAAAGAGTTTGCTTAGAGGTGACATACTATAATAACAAAGCTTAAAGGTCCTGGTTCAGCACATATCTACCATTAGATGCTACCCTAAGATACTTGCCCATTACAGGCCATCCCTATTGCACCATAGGTTCCATCTATCACAATGGTTTCAGTAGGTCTACTAACTATAACCTCTACTTTTTTATATAAGCAGGACATTAACTAGAAGCTGATTTTGTAAACTTTTCACATTCACTACAAGGAACATGTTATTTATCAAATAATTTTTAAACATATGGGCTTCGTCAATAGAAATACGATATCTGACAAAAAAGCTATTTTGAGATAATTGAAATCAGAGTTTAGTGTAATAATAACAAATGGTGATTTATTATTAGAATTATATGCGTCTCAAAATTGAATCTCTGCCGATCTTTGCTATAACAATCATTTTTATAATTATTCGTTGTTAGAATTTTTTGCGTATTTATTCTTTGAAATATTTATCTACAATTGTTTACAAGTGTATTTTGTCAACACTTGAAAAATGCGCTAAAAAAATTGCAACAAAAATGCAATCCAGTTTTAGTAGTGATATTAAAGGAATTTATCACCAATCTGATGAAGTTAAATTAAATCAATTGAATTTTCTGTTAATAAAACAGACTTTTAAGTGAATTTTGGATATGAAGATCAAATAAAAAAAAATTCTCAAATTCAATTTATAGTAAAAGCAGTTGATCAAGGGCAAATATCAAGAGATTCTTATCGAGAATTAGCTGCTGTAGAACACTATTTACCACGTGAAAATTCTGTTTCTAATGAACGAATTCCAATTACTAACCATATGAATAATATAATTAGTTGATATAAAAGAAAAGAATGAACTAGAAGACATTATAGAATCTGAAGAATCAGATATTATAAATTTTGAAATAATACAAGAAGTTGTTAATACAATTGGATTAGGCATTCATCGTAGTATAAAAGATATTTTGTATTATCTTATTCTACAACTACAAAAACAAAAATATTAAAATCATCAGATCTAATTATTCATTTGTGTGTTTCTGGTGATGGGCGAAATGTAGGAAAAAAAATCAAATATGTTATGATAACATTTATGATTTTAAATCATGAAAGTCGACAACACCATGCAGATTATTATTATACTGTAGCATTATATCCAGGAACTGAAAATTATAGTACACTTAAATTTATGTTGAATTCTTTTTGTAATGAATTACGATCACTTAAGGAGTTTGGATTAAAAATATCTAAAATATTATGGAAATTTGAACTATACTTTAGTTCAGACTGGAAATTTTTAGCTATTTGTCTTGAATTAAATAGTGCAAATTCCAAATATTTTTGTCCTTGGTGTTTATGTTCTAAAGATCAAATTGGAGATTTAAATAAAG